TCTCCTGGCCCTGAAGGCACTCCTGGGGCTGGCTGGGGGGTGCACGCTGTGGACCAGTTGTGGGGGGAAAGAACAACCCCCCTCCCTGCTTGCTTCCCGCCTGCCTCGCTCTGACTGCCCAGAGGAGGAGAAGAGACAGACAAGCAGGGGCGGGAGGCTGTGGCCCAGAGTCTCTGGCTGCACATAAATCGCTCCGGCTGGTCTGGCCTTGGAACTCGGTCTCCCCTTGCTATGCCAGCCCCACAAAGCCCGGTGCTGCTCCAGCTGCGGAGAGGTCAGGCCGCAGCCTCTGGAGGCCAGAATCGCTTGTTGCTGCTGGTCACCATAGCATCACAAAAACAACAGTCGGCTGCACAGGCTGGCTGGCTTCAATGGAACCACATCAGGCCTGGGAGACGGGCGGACCCAGGCAAGTGAGAGGAAAGCGTCTCTGTGGGGCTGGCTGGGGATTCTTGCTGGCACCCAAACAGAGATGAAGAGATCCAGAAATAGCCCAGAGACTGTCTGAAGCCGAGCTGGGCTTTTTCATGCCCAGGAAGAGCCGTTTCCGGGGCGAGAGGCCCAGGGAACGGTGAACGTTTAGGAGTTTCAAAGTCAGCACCAGTGCAGGGAGAACAGGAACAAAGGACAAATTCCCTCCCCCTTCAGATGCTCTCGGTCTCATACGTCCAGGCCTCAGAAAGATTATTTCCCCGTCTGACCAAGCTTCCAGAGTTACATGGTATTAATCCCCCCTTCCCCACCCCCCACCCCATGCAGGCTGGGCTGACACACACCATGCAGGGGAAGCACAGCACTCCGGATTCTGGCCCGAGCGTAAATACACTCAAGTCGCTGGGAATCGGTGTTCTCAGTGCAGGGGAAAGCTGGAGTCACTCTGCTTACAGTAGGTTTAGACGTGTGTACATGGGATCCGAATTGGCTTAAGTGTGCTCTGGACTTGCTCCCTGCCTTAAAGAGTTTCAGGCTGTGGTGGCCAGCTGGCCCCCTGCGGGCAAATCAGCCCAGCAAAGCCTGTATTACAGCCACGGGGTTCTCGGGGGCTCTCGAGTTTTATGCTCAGTGTAAATAGGGCCTAGTCCTGTAAGTCCATAGCCTGAGAAAAGGGGCGTGTGTGCAGGTCCTGCCTCTCCCCACGGCCGCCATCAGCGTGTGCCCTGATGCATGAGGACTGATGGCCCTAACCATTTATCCTTCCTGTCTCCGTGCCAGCCGCCTCCATGCATCCCACGCACCCAGCTCCCCCACGCACAAGCACAGCTCATTGGCTGCTTTCTCAGCTCCCCGGGCCAGCCTACAACGTTCCGCTCACAGCTAGGAGGGCAGTGCAGCCAGCCTTGCTTTGGGTTCCCAGCCTGGCTGGGCAGAGCTATGGCAGCCAGGCCAGTGTGCTAGCTGGGCCCAGGGAGAAGCGGCCCCCAGAGGCCCCTGTGCTACCAACAAGCCACCCCGCGCTATCAGGCAGAGCTAGCTGGACGCTTACGCCCAAGCCCCTGCTTGGCACGTGGCAGTGAGCAGCTCTCCGTCCCAGGCAGCCCCAGCCACCCCCCGCCAAAGGAGAAGCCTTCTGCAGCCCACAGCTCAGTGGCCCCTTCTTTCCTTCCCTGGCAACCTGCTAGCAGGAAAGGCGGCAGGGGGCGGAGATGCAAAGCAGAAGCTGATAAAGGGAAGGAATTTCTTATATGCAGCACGTACCAGCCAAGTCGGCAGCAGCCTGCCAGAGAACAGTCCTCAGCGCTTCGGCGGATGGCAAACGCAGGGGTTACCACAATGCCCAGTTTACAGATGGGGCCACTGAAGCACAGAAATAAGTGACTTGGCCCTGGATACCCAGTAATTCAGTGGCAAAGCTGGGATTAGAACCCAAGACTCTCAGCTTCTAATCTGCCTTGTCACTTGAACCTCTCTGCAAAGACATCAGGGGCACTTCCTCCTAAGTGTCAGCTGGAAAACAAGTGCTTTGCCCTGTACCCTCAGCCTCCCCCGCCAGGCACGGATTCTGGAGCTAAGCACCCTGACTGAAAATACACTCTGGAGCCATGAGTTCAAAGCCCAGCTCCGCGCTTCATCTTCCAAAGCCACATACACTGACTTTCATGTTGTTTGCTCCCCACGTGATCTTCTTGCCAAACTAAGGCTCTCAGACGGGCTGAGTGAAACAGGTAACATTACTGCTGTGGTCCGCCCAAAGGATTCCTGTTCCCTTACACGGTAGAGCGCCACCCCAGAGGTGGCTGCACCTCAGTGTGGAAAAGGCTCCTTTGGGTGCACATTTCAAAGTAGCCCGTTAGCTGATGAGTTCCTGCTTGAATAACTTTAGCCTGTACCATCACCTCATGGATGAGTTACCAACTTCTGACCGAGAAAATTTGGTGGCCGCAGTTTTAACCTGCAAGCGTCCTCTTGGTTTGGTGCCCAAACGTCATATTTCTAGTTCAGCCTCTACCACCTAGGTGGCTAAAAGCAGGAAGTTCTAAACCAGAGCAATCTAATCCTAATTCCCAGTCACCACTCTCCCCACAGAAACGAGGTGTCTGTCTGTCTAGAGTCTCCCGGTAGTGAGCACCTCTCAGTTTTCAAGGCAGTTCACTCAGCCCTTCCTCTAGGGCTAGATTTGGGCAAAGCCAGGGCCTGCTGAGATGCCGTGTAGAAGCCAGAAAGAGGCTGAGAGGGTTGCAGGAAGAGGAAGATCTGAAGTGGGAGCACCTGTGGAAAGAGGCGATCTGGCCCAGCCAGCTTGTTTACATTTGTGTTCATCTACAAGGAAAGTGTAAAGAAAATGCTGAATCGAACAGTCACCAAAGAAAAATTGCTCTCTGATGTCACAAGTGTGAGCCTTCCACTCAGCTCTTTTTAGATCAATGAACATCTTCATCTCCAGCCTCTGCCCAGGAGCTGCCTCAAACGCCAACGCAGGATGCTTCCAGGAGTTTGACTTTCCAGCCCCACTTCCATCACCTGGTTTTTGCACACACTTAGGCTATGTCTACACTCACGGCTTCTTGCGTGAGTAATATGCAAATGAGGCTAAGCGTGGAATATCGCCGAGCCTCATTTGCATACCTAATGAGCCACCATTTTTTTCCGAAGAGGCTCTTGCGCAAGAAGGAACGTCTACACTGCCCCTTCTTGCGCAAGAAAAACCATCTTGCGCAATGCCGTTCTTCCTGAAAAGTCATAGGTGTAACGGCATTGCGCAAGAGGGTTTTTCTTGCGCAAGAGTCTCGTCGGAAAAAAATGGTGGCTCATTAGGTATGCAAATGAGGCTTGGCGATATTCCACACTTAGCCTCATTTGCATATTACTCGCGCAAGAAGCCGCGAGTGTAGACATAGCCTTATATTTTCCATTCACTTCGCCTTTTCCCCCATTGCCGATCCTGGGGATTTTAATGTGAGTCTCAAGACACTTGGGCTGTGTCTATATTGGCAAGATTTTGCACAAATACTCTTTAACGCAAGAGTTTTTGCGTTAGAGTATTTGAGTAAGAGAGTGTCTACACTGGCATGTGCCTTTGCGCAAAAGATGTACTTTTGCGCAAAAGCATCTGTGCCAGTGTAGACGCTATCTTGCGCAAGAAAACTCCGATGGCCATTTTAGCCATAGGGCTTTCTTCCCCAAGAAATTAATGTTGCCGGTCTACACTGGCCTCTTGCGCAAGAATACTTGTGCAAGAGGGCTTATCCCTGAGTGGGAGCGTCAGAGTATTTGTGCAAGAAGCACTGATTTTGTACATTACAATGTCAGTGTTCTTGCGCAAATACTCACGGCCAGTGTAGACAGGTGGCAAGATTTTGCGCAAAAGCAGGCGGTTTTGCGCAAAACCTTGCCAATATAGACACAGCTTTGGTGATTTTTTGTAAAGCCACAGCTCACAGTGTCATGCAATTTGCGGAGCATCTCAGCTCACCCTTAAAAAACAAGCTAGTTTCCGGCCCGTGTGGTTGTGGATCAAGCCTTGATAACATGGCCACAAAAGGGGGGAAGTCAGAAGACCAGCACTGGGTACTTTTTACAATCTCAATCTCATGGTTTTGGGGACCCAACTTGTGGGGTTTGGACGCTAGGGATTGGCCAGCCTCACTTTTTCTAGCGCATCAGACAGAGGAAATGGAGCTGACTGTTCAGGGAGAACGGCGTAGCCTGCAGAAGAGGTGAGAGCTGGATCCAAACATCACCGTTTTACCGCGCCAGCTGCTCCTTGTTCCACTTAGATCCATCTCTAAATCCAAATGATCTAGCTCAAGCACCCCCACCGCTTTTCATATTGGTACAAGACCCTGGCTTCTGGGCAGGATGACCTGGGGGGCAGCAAAAGCTAGAGGGCCCCTTTTGCAGCTACATGAAGCCATGGGACAGGCACCCTGCAGGACTGTTTGGTGTGACTGTCCCTGTGATCACTAGCGAGACAAGGCAAGTGAGGATAAGACTGGGAAGCGTAGTGAGCACGTAATGTAAGGAACCATGAGAGGGAGGGTGGCCCGTCAGCGTCAGGAGTGAGTAGGTTACAGACGGTGTTAACAAACCATCCCCGTTCAGTCCATGGTGCTTAGCGTCCAGCAGACACAGGAAGGTAAGCTCTGCTAGACACTGGTCCACTGGTCCACTTGGCATTTCTCTAGGACACTGGAAGTACCTTTTCCAGCCCCGAGGAAGAGCTTGGTGCAACTCGACAGCCTCCCGCTCAGCCACAGGAGGGATTCAATAAAAGACATGACCTCATTCAACGTCTCTCATCGCCTGTGACAGACACAGCTGCAGTCACACACCCAGCCAGTACCAGGACTGAGCTATGCCTGGAGGTTAACCTTGGAGGAGCCAGCATGACCCAACAACTGGGGATGTGAGGAGCTAAGCTGCAGGGCGTCCGTGTGCCAGGGAACAGTCACTAGCAAATGGGACTGAAGACAAGCTGCGTGGGGCTAGCTCTGACCAGAACATCATTTTGGAAGACCAGGGCTGACACAAGGAGCAGGAGCAACTAAAGTCCTTGCTGCTTTCTGCACAGGTAGAGCTGACTATTCAATTCCTTTCTCTCTACCACGCAGAGAAAACCCCAGAGTGAAGTACGAGTCCCTCGGCAGTCACCAAGACACCACAATGTGCTCTCAACACACTGTGGTCTCAATGTGCTCTCAATGTGGTCAAATATTGGAATAAATTGCCAAGGGAGGTGGTGGAATCTCCCTCTCTGGAGATATTTAAGAACAGGTTAGATAGACATCTGTCAGGGATGGTGTAGGTGGAGCTTGGTCCTGCCTTGAGGGCGGGGGGCTGGACTCGATGACCTCTCGAGGTCCCTTCCAGTCCTATGATTCTATAACCATGAAACGAGCCTCCCCAAACTCAAAACTCTTCATTTTACCACTTCCTTTGCCCTGCCCCTCCCCCAGCCTCCACTGCAAGGCTGTGCACACATTATAGGACTGAGCACCTGTAAGGAAAGCCCCAAAGACGTCACCTTGCGGGCAATTCCCTCCCTGCCCGCATAGCCCTGCGTGGCATCTGGGCAGCAGCAGAGACCTTGCGAAGCGTTCCTGGCAGAGAGGGGTTATACAATCTGCCCCGATGCGGGAAACAAGCGAGGAAGTGGTTGTGCTAGCTCTAGGGTGGCGGCAGCAGTGCAGTGAATGAGAATGCGATGGTTAGCAACTCAACCCTTTTACTAGAGAGACAGACGCTCTAGCAGAAGAGGCCCCAAGCCAGTGGGGCTGTTGCTGGCCCCGGGAGCAGAACATGTGATTTCCTGAAGGCCCAGCCGCTGGTGAGGAGAGCACTGCTTGGTGGCAGTCAGCTGCTGGAGGGGGGCGGTTGGCACTCGTTGCCAGGCTGTGAGATCTAGGTGGCACCTGCTTTGGGCAGAGTGCCTGGTGACACACGCTGCTCCCGGCAGCGGGAGAAAGCTGCTTAGCCCGTTCTCAAGTACGGAAGGGTTCAGAAACGCGGATCCTGCTGAGGCAGTCTCTAGCGGAGCCCTGGTCTGCTGTATCGCATGGACAAGGGCTTGTCTGGCTTCTGTTCTAAGCGGGGACTCTGACTCAGATTGCTGGCCTGCCTGGTCCCGCTTTGCAAGGCTGAGGCCTATGGCTGCACTTTCAGCTCCTCTTGGATTTTCTTCAGGGCATCAGCCATCAGGTTGCAAGCTTTCTTGTGCTTCTGCCAGTGCTGCACCTGGCACGCCCTGCAAAGGGGAAGGGACGGAGCGGGAATGGTAGAAAGGAACACATGGGAACTGGGTTGGGGGCTGGGATGCACTATGGAGGCCTTCACCTCCAGGGCACTGCTTCAAACAAGGGCCGGCCAGTGATGAAATTCTTCAGGGCATCAGCCATCAGGTTGCAAGCTTTCTTGTGCTTCTGCCAGTGCTGCACCTGGCACGCCCTGCAAAGGGGAAGGGACGGAGCGGGAATGGTAGAAAGGAACACATGGGAACTGGGTTGGGGGCTGGGATGCACTATGGAGGCCTTCACCTCCAGGGCACTGCTTCAAACAAGGGCCGGCCAGTGATGAAAAACTGTTCTCCTCTAGCCACGCCTCGGGCTGTGTGAGACAGAGTGGGGGGATCTGTAGCGGGCAAGTGCCTGTAGCCACTGTCACTGAGTGGCCCCTCAGCTACGCCCAGCAGATGCCAAGGACCCTGTGCTCCCACGCCAGAGCTCTCCCTAGGTGCAGTGAAGCACAGGCGCTGAGGAAGCTAGGCCGCTGCCGCTGCCGGGATAAACAAGGGACTCTGGCTCTCAGCCCAGCCCCTCCAGCATCGGCCCAAAATGCACTAGGCTTCTCATAGCAGGGACCATGCAATGGCTGCTGCTGCCCCAGCGTGGGACATAACTGACCCCGGAGGATACGCCTTGTGGGGCAAGGCCAGCAGAGCCCACCGGTCCAGTGACGCTGTGAATTCATGCACTGATTGGAAACTCCCTGGCAGCCATGAAGCCCAGGCCCACGGGCTGCAGCATTACTGGCACAGAGACCAGCCAGGGCGGCTAGACCCAGCAACGTGAGCACCACGTGCTCCAGAGAAAGGACCAAGTCCTATGCTGCTGTGGGCAGGCCCTGCAGGAGGCCTCTGGTACCAGCTGTGCCCAGGGCGAGGTGAGATGCCAGTGACGCCCTGTGGGCAGCCAGGAGCTGGGACAGACCCTTCCCTGCTCTGCGTCATTACCGTTTGCAGTACCACTCGTTCTGGCAGCGAGAGCAGCGCTTGGTGGCCTCCAAGCCGCACAGCCCGCACTTGGGTTTCTCTGGCGCAAGAGCCTCCATCACGTCCAGGTTGTAAGTCTGCGCCCACCTGGCCGGGGGCGAAAGCAGGCATCAGCCCCTGGCACAGACTAGTGATGTCCTAGCAGCCTCCTGGCACGAGTGGGAGATGGGGACTGGCCCTGCAGGGCTAGGGGCTTACCGGCAAGCTAGGCCTTTCAGCTCATCCTCTGAGGGGCTGAACATGTGCTTGACCTGGTGCTTGGCGATGGCCTGCCACTTCCCAGCATTCTCTTGGGCAATGCGGTCCCTGATGACAGGAACCTGTCAGGACAGCAAAGCGGGTGAGAGGAACGTCCTGTCCCAGGATCGGGGGTGCCTCTGGGGCAGGACATGCTGGGGCCAGCGGAGTTCAGTCTGAGCCCTGCTTTGTGTTCCAAGGGGTGTCTGTCTCCAGTTCTACCTGAGGATCCCTTGCTAGGTGATGAGAACTTGCGTGAGAGCAGGAAGTGGGTGTGTGACGGAAGATGTGGCTGATCTGGGTGCAGGGGAAAGATGTGACAGAGCCGTGTGTAATACACATGCATGTGGTGAAGGAGGACAGTCTGCGTGGGGGGTGGAGGAAATGTATTCGTACAGAGCTGTCAACGTGCATGAAGGGCTGAAGGAAGAGGTGACAGATCTGCTACAAGAACCACTCATTGCCAGGGTTTATGGAGAAGCCTCCAAAGCACGTGCCTCCTAGCTGCATGGGACAAGTCAGCCGTTAGCAGCATTTATTCTGGGAGGTGTGCTGATCCCCTGGGCCCGCTGCATCTTCCCAGTACAGCTGCCCCCTTCAATTCTCCCCAGTCCCTCCTCTTGCCCCACTCTCCCATGCCAGCCCCAGCCTCACTTTTCTCCAGGAGGACAGAGGCGATGAGGCTTGTGGCAGAGGGGATCAGGTGGAGTGAAACAAGGCTGTGCCCCTTGCTAACCCATGGGAGTGAGAAATCAGTAGCAGGGTCTGACCACCATACTCTGACCAAGCTGGGGGGGAAGGGGCGCCCTGAACCCAGCGCTCCCGAGTCTCTTGCCCGATTTGATCCTTCCCCAGAACTGAGAACTTGTCCCATCTATCGTTCCCGCCAGTGCCAAAGAGCAAATGCCAGCCAAGAGCAGCGCCCGGGGCTCAGGCTACAGCAGAAAAGCTGCTGCTTCCAAGGTGCGGCCGCCCCCGCAGAGCAGAACGGCCACGCAGCAGTGGGGAGAGGAGGGCGGCTGTCTGAGAAGCAGCATGGAAAAAGCCTTTTTCATCATGGCCTGGCACAGCGGCAGTGGGCGAGCTCATCGGGCAGGATGCGTGCTCAGCATGTGTGACTGGAGCTGGCTTCCCCCGCCCACTCAAGATGCTGAATCCCAGTTACAGGCACAAGGCAAATGCTGCAAGCAGAAAGGAGACCAAGGAGGAGATGAGAAGAGCAGCTCGGGTAAGGGCCAGCCACACGCCCTGCCGAGCAGTGGCTGCCAGCCCTGCATTGCTACCTCTCTCAGAGCTGGCCAGATGTGGGAGCAGAGAGCGACTCCACAGCTACCCCCACTCCATCCTTGCCGAAATCACCAGCTCCAGAGAAAGGACCAAGTCCTATGCTGCTGTGGGCAGGCCCTGCAGGAGGCCATCCTTGCCGAAATCAATCATGCTGCTTGGCTTACTGCACAGCTTTCTCCTCTGCAGCCTCCCAGCCCTCTGGACTCCATCCTGCACCCAGGCAGAGCTGTGCGGCCACAGTACCCCGCTGTTCCTCTGATCAAAGGCCAGGTCAGACCACCCTGGTATAAATCCCCTAGAGCTGACAGTGTAATGTCTCTCTCCCTCCTCCCTGTCCCATCTCTCCACTCATCTGCAGCCTCCTCTGGCCCTGCACACAAAGCTGCCACTCTGGGTATAAGAGCCTTCTCATCTGTGGCTCCACTTTCCCTTCTCTTTGCAAATTCCACCGGAATACCCGTCTCCGCCGCGCCAGCACGTGCCTCTCGGTGCTCTCCCAGCTAGCAGTAAGTGCTCGGAAAAGCACATGAGCTACGTTTCTGTGAAGGGTGCAGTACAGACTAACTACATACACGTGTGCTACAAACCAAGGATGCCGCGGAGCCCTGACTTAACCCCCACTTCCCAGCTCTCGAGGGGAATTTAATGGAAACATCAAGACACTCGCAGGGTCCGTAATAGGGGACTCTTCCTCTGGGCCTCCTGTGCGTGTGGAAGGGAAATTAAGAGCGATGGTAAACAGGGACTGAATTGTTACCGGGAAGCAGCAGCTGACTCCCCTCCACTCAGACACAGTGCTAGAGCGTCAGTGTGACCCTGTTAATAACCCAGTGTTGTGAGCTGCTGGCTGCTGCCTTCTTCCGCAAAGCAGACGCTACTGGCACGGGGTGCGGAGAGCAGTGCTAGCCAGAGCTGGAGTCTGTGCAAGACTTCCGTCCAGGGGCTGCGTAGAAGAACAGGCAGGCACAGCCTGGCCCATGGTACTGATAGTAGCTGTGTACCTCACAATCGCCAGTGTGTGTGTAAACTCACACCCCCTGCTGGGGGCTGGGCTACTATCTCCATTGTTCAGATGGGGAACTGAGTGACTCAACCAAGGAGACACAGGGAATCTGTGGCAGAACAGGAACTGAACCAGCGAGGGAGGCGCCCTAACCACTGAGCCATCCTCCCTCTCCATAATATAGAATTTCACCCCCGGGCTCTAGTGACTCGGGCTTTGCTCTCTCATCACCATCACAAGGGCAAGCTCCCAGCTCTCAGCGGCCTATGTGGAAGCCGGCCCCTCAGGGGATGGCCTTGGCAAAGCACAGGCCCACAGGGCCAGTAAAAGACGAGTGCAAAGCACAGGGGCTGGGCCAGGGCATGTGCCCTCTCTCATCACAGCCCCCCACACCCAAGCAGAGGGAATACGCTCAGCCTTTGGCAACGGCTATCCACAACACAGCTGGAATGGAGGAGACAGACTGGCCTGGGGAGAGGGGCAGTGCTGGAGATACCTGCTCCAGGATGAGGTCCTTTTTGGGTGGACCAGGCTCTGTCACGGCGAGGTGGCTCAGAAATCTCTGCATCTCCACCAGATTTGGCAACTGGTCAATGAGGACATCGGTCAGGAATGCACGGAGCTACACCCAGAGAGGAGAGCGGAGAGCGAAAGGCGAGAGATCAGGACAAGCCACGGAAATAATCGTCTGGTTAAAAAACGAGCTGCCGGGAAGGGTCTCTCAGCAAGGACTAAAATCAGTGACGTTAAGCAGTGTCAAAAGCCTGTGGTACCTGGCATGGCTGGAAGTGCTGTAGGGGAGTGAGGGGTGCTGGCTAAGCTGGGTGGGGAATAGCAGGTCCGGCCTGAGGTGCGTTGGCAAAGCTGTGGGAAGTAGCCCAGCGCTGAAAAGCAGATGTGGGGGGGAGTGTGCTGGGCCTGAGCTATTGATGGGAAGTTTGCACAGTGTCTGCCAGCATGGCACAGGGCTCTAGCGCCCTCAGACTCCTCCTTCCGCAGGCACTAAAGCCAGAAACTGCATATCCCTAGTTAAAGCTCTCAGCCTCCACGCCTGCAAGCCAGGCGCGACATCCCCACGGAGGCGCTGGGTTGGCGGCCCTGGAACCTGATACCCAGGACCAGCAGCAGCGTGAGTCTCCTAGCACACCCTGTCTCAAAGCTGGCCAGGAGAAACTCCACTAGGGCGAGTTCAGCCCGTGTGGCCCTCTCGGGCCTTGGACTCCGCTGAACAGCGAGGAGATAACTCATGCTATGGGCCTCTAAACACGAGTGGCATGAACAAAGAAGCCATCTTGGACCTGGCAACATGGTATTTCCCAGCTTGTGATTCTGGTTTCAACAAGGATATGCCCACCTAACACATGTCCATGCCTGTAGGAAAGCCCCACTCTTCCCTGCACCTGGGTACGACGCTGGGTACATGTACAGACTCTGCCACTACGTCGTGTACCTTTAGGAGCTGGCTCTTGTTGAAACCATTCAAGTTGTATTTCCGCTGGCATTCTGGGCTCAGGAGGAGGTTATAGAGGGCGATCCACACCTGCCCATCCAGCTTGGTCATCTTCACATGATCTTCCGGAGGTACCACGTGCCAGGCTCCATTCTCAAACTTCTTTAGCTTGCCTGAGATACGCAGCCAGGAAGCCAGAGGGTGAGAGCGAGACAACAGAGAGAAGACGGCCTAGTGGTTAGGGTGTCAGCTGGGACTCACACCAAGGTTCATTTCTCTGCTCCAGCACAGACTGCCTGTGTGAACCTGGGCGAGTCACTTAGTCTCTCTGTACCTCAGTTTCCCTCTGTAAAGTGAGGCTCCTAGCATCTCCCCCCCAGATGTGAGAGGAGAAAGCCATTTACCGGTTGTAAGGTGCTCAGAGACTGGTGAGGGGACTAGTTAAGGACCTCAGGGAGATGAACGGATCTCATGGTGTTATAATCTGTACAGGCTCCCAGGAACACACACCGCTAAGGGAGCCGGGCAAGGAAGAAATGCTGCTGGGCTGGCATGAGGATATGGAGCGACCCACCCCAAGGGCGCATGGGGGCTGGCAGTGCCCTCTTCATCCTTCCCCTGTTATGGATCCATAGGATGAGTCCTAAGCCCCAGCTTTTCAACAGTGCCATGGAGAAGTCCCTGCTGTACTGCAGACCCTCGGGGTGTCCCGCTTTTCCTTCAGGGTAGGCCCTGCAGCCTCACCACCACCAATCTGGCTTCAGCTCCCCAACTTCACGCCGTAAGCCTGGCCCATCTGAGAGTGGCTCCGTGGCCTGTATGCCCTGCAGGGCCCTGGGCACCTCCACCATTGCTAATACATTTAAAAGGCTGGCGCACAGCAGGGGGAGACCTGGCGCGTCCTGGCTCGCGCTGGGTCCCCCGCAATGTACTTCTGGCAGGCTCTTAATACATTTCAAAAGCAGAGGCATGGCATCTGGGACTGGGCACGAGCCGGTCCCGCTACCCCCACCTCCCCTGGAGATGGTACTGCATTACTTTTTTGCTCTTTTACTGCATTGGGGACAGCAGCTTGGTGGCTGCCAGATTCAGATGAGAGAGACCACAAGCAGGGACCATTTTGGCAGGTGAAGCACTGCAATCCCATGTGAGCGGCGTCTGCCCAAGAGCTGAGTCAAAGGGAAACTGAGGCACACATGCAGGAAGTGGTCCCTTGGACTTGGCTAGGAGGGGAGGGAGAGGGAAAGCCAGATGGAAATCCATGTGGAAGATGGAGAGTGAGAATGAACCTAGGGACAAGCTTTTGGCTATTTCTCCCTTTATGGGAACCACCTATCAGATGGGCTCCAGGGGAAAATGCGCTAGTCTGAGCTCAGAATTCGTACCTGCTTCGCGGCGGCTCCATGGACAATGCTCCAGGAGCTCTACCAGCAGACAGGGCAGGTTGTGAGTGTTAAGCATCCGTGTCAGGGCACTCAGGGGCAAACTGGAGGAAAACGAGAGGAACTAGTGAAAACACCAATTGCAAACAATGCAAGATCAGTACAAATGCTCCACAGAGCTCTGGGGAAGACACAAAAGTGACAAAATAAATCTCAGTCACACCAGGGTCATTCTTGCGGATCCACACAGCCAATCACCTAGCATGGCAGGAGCTACACACCTGGGTACTAGCACCAGGATCCACACACGGCCAGCCACTGGGCACCACCACATCCCGACGTGGGTGCTAGCTTTGATCCTTTCAGGTGCTAGGTGGCTCCACAAAGCAAGTGTCCAGTGATACTCCCTCTGGGAGCCAACAGCCAGCCACTGAGAGAGGAGGAAGCACGCAGCAGACCTGGTGCGCGGGCTGCACATCCAGCTACTGCATACAGCGGGCTCCAGACACCAGAGCACGAGCACCAGAACAGAGGCTCCCAGTCCCTGAGCACAGGAGGCCTGACACATAAGAACATAAGATAAGAACATAAGAACTGCCGTACTGGGTCAGATCAAAGGTCCATCTAGCCCAGTATCCTGTCTGCCGACAGTGGCCAGCACCAGGTGCCCCGGAGAGGGTGGACCGAAGACAATGATCAAGTGATTTGTCTCCTGCCATCCCTCTCCAGCCTCTGACAAACAGAGACAAACAGAGGCCAGGGACACCATTCCTACCGCCTGGCTAATAGCTTTTTATGGACCTAACCTCCATGAAATTATCTAGTTTCTCTTTAAACTCTGTTATAATCCTAGTCTGCACAGCCTCCTCTGGCAAGGAGTTCCACAGGTTGACTACACGCTGTGTGAAGAAGAACTTTCTTTTATTAGTTTTAAACCTGCTACCCATT